GTCGGTTACGATGAAGGGTGTTTCAGGTGCTCAGCATAAGTTGACCGGGTAGGGGTGACGTCACAATTTGTAGGAGAAGAGAAAGTTGGGGATCTGTAGGAGAGGATGAGGAGCGGCTGAGAACCGTGTGAAGAAATCTGTCGGAGATGGAGAGTGGCCACCGGGAAAAAATGAATCTGTTAATGATTTGGTTTATATATATTATAATAATAATAATAATAATAATAATAATAATAATAATAATAATAATAATAATAATAATAATAAATACTCGTTATTTTTAAAGAAAATGAAATAATTACAGAAAAGACCAAAATGCGCCCTCTTTAACGTCAGTTTTTAAATGGGTGTTAGTTTGAGGGACTATAAGTGAAGTAAAATGGCAACCAGAAGGACTAAAACTGTAATTAGTTTAAAAAAGAGATAAAAGTTGATAGTTGGCGGATATGGTTGAATTTACCCAAATCGGGAAACAAGCGCGTGATGGAGGAAATCCACAACAACGTCGTTGTCGTCGTCGACGGTTACGTCGTTATCTCCGATGATCATCTTCACCCCACTCCAACCATCTCCGCTGTTTACCTCGGGTATTATAGGTCGAAATCAAAAACCACAACGACGATGACCATGAAGATGAAGGTTGAAATCGACTAGGGTTTTTGCAGGATATGAAGTTTGGAGATGGTGACGACGAAAATGAAGTTTGGAGATGGTGATGATCGAGACGAGGTTTGGAGATGGAGATGAAGGAGACATGTTTGTAATCTGGAAGAGAATGAGGTGTATCTCAAATATAAGGGTAGCGATGTTTTTTTTTTTTTTTTTGCTGATTGGGGATAACATAACATATTCATTTGTGCGATTAAGTCACCTTATGTGCAAATAAACCGTAAGTAAACACCCTAAAAGAGTTGTACGAATAAGCCAATTACACCATTAAGCTCATTAAGCCACAAGTAAACACGCCCTTATTTTGTTTTACAGACAATAAAAATGTGTAAATGATTCTAATAAAATATATAGTTTTAATTAGTAATTATATATTTTAAAAAATTATGAATTATTTAAAATATACGAGGTTAACACTTTTATGT